AAAAGAGGGGGATGGAGAGGCCGGGAACAGGGGCTTGAGCCTGTAATCCAGCACTTTGGGAGGCCAAAGCAAGTGGATTGCTTGAGCCCCGGAGTTTAAGACCAGCCTGGGCCATATGACAAAACCCTGTGTCAAAAAAAAAAAAAAAAATTATCTGGGTGTGGTGGCACACACCTGTTCCCCATCTACTCAGAAGGCTGTGGTGGGAGGATTAGTTGAGCTCAGGAGACGTGGATTACAATGAGCCAAGACTGCACCACAGCACTGTAGCATGAGCAACATAGTGAGACTTAGACTCAAGAAAATAACAACAACAACAAAAGACAAAAAAATAGGAATGGAGATATTAGCTGGGTGGGCTGGTGCACGCCTGTAGTCCTGGCAACTTGTAGGAGGCTGAGGCAGGAGGATCGCTTGAGCCCAGGAGTTTGAGGCTGTATAATGGTGCCACTGCAGTTCAACCTGGGCAACACAGTGAAGTCCTGCCTCAAAAAAACAAAACAAAACAAAACAAAACAAAAGGATGGAGAATATTAAAAAGGCGCTGGAACCCATCTGAAAGAGCTCCCAGTGGCCATAGTTTGAGCAACAAAACAAATAGTGATAGTATTGGATCATAACTCACAGAACAAAGTAAACATTTGAGTCCACACTGATATAAACAAATCCTTGAATAAATAAAATGGGGAGAGGGCACAACTTTTTCTTACAGAGGCATTTCAATTAATAAATGTAGAAGGAATCTAATCTATCACCGTTAGAAGCCCACAGTAATAGTTGCTATAGTCGAGTTGCACCGATGGATGCTAAAATTAGTGGGTAAAAGTTGAAGCAAGAACAGAATATTTTCATAGTCTAAAATAATTCCCCCAAATATTTAGTAACTAAAAGGGAAAAATAGTAACTTTCCAGTGGAGAATCCTGTCTGATGCCACCTTAACCAGTGACCAGGGTGAACACCCCCGTAATAAGTCATGTTGACGTTATGTGCTCTCTGATAAGCTGCACGGAGAAGGGCACCTCACCTCTGTGGTGTCCTTCCCAATAGCTCGTAGCCTCCACTTACTCATAAGAAAATCAGGCAAACCAAAATTGTGGAACATTGTGTAAAATATCTAATCAGGGTCCCAGCCCAGTGGCTCACGTCTATAATCCCAGCACTTTGGGAGGCCGAGGCAGGTGGGTCACTTGAGGTCAGGAGTTCAAGACCAGCCTGGCCAACATGGTGAAACCCCATCTCTACTAAAAATATAAAAAATAGCTGGGCATGGCGATGCGTGCCTGTAATTCCAGCTACTCGGGAGGCTGAGGCAGGAGAATCGCTTGAACTTGGGAGGTGGAGGTTGCAGTGACCCAAGATCGAGGCACTGCACTCCAGCCTGGGCAACAGAGCGAGACTCCATCTAAAAAAAAGAATCTGACCAGGACTCCAAAAGTGTCAACATCATGAAAGAAAAAGAAAGACAAATCTTAGAGGAGCCTAAGGAGACTGGACAAATCACTGCTGCGTGGAATCCTGATTGGATCCTGGAACAGAGAAAGTGCATTCATGGAAAAGCACGTGACATCTGAGTAAATTCCATAGTTTAGTTAATAGTATTATACTAGGCTGGGCATGGTGGCTCACGCCTATAATCCCACACTTTGGGGGGCGAAGGTGGGTGGATTACCTGAAGTCAGGAGTTCAAGACCAGCCTGACCAACATGGAGAAACACCATCTCTACTAAAAGTACAAAATTAGCCGGGCGTGGTGGCTAATGCCTGTAATCCCAGCTACTCGGGAGGCTGAGGCAGGAGAATCGCTTGAACCCAGGAGGCAGAGGTTGCGGTGAGCTGAGTTCATCTCATTGCACTCCAGCCTGGGCAACAAAAGCTAAACTTCATTTCAAAAGAAAAAGAAAAAAGAAAAAAATAGTATTGTAACAACAATAATTTCTTAGCTTCTATAACTGTATATATAATTTCTCAGTTTCTATAAATATAATTGTACTATATTGACATGAGGAAAAGTTGGGGGAAGAATATATGGGAACTCTGTTTTTGTAATACTCTGTAAGTCTAAAATGATCTCAAAATGAAGTTTTAAAAGTTCTAAAACAACGCCAAACCAAAAAAATCCTATAGACCTGTATATGAAAAAGGGTGAATTTTATCATATGCAAATTATACCTCTTAACTTAGAAAATAATATAGTATCCTTACTATACTCTTTTGAAATCTGTTCATTAGTTACACTAAATATATACAAATACTTTTGAATGTGTTTAAATACTATGTTTGAAAATGTTGCTGGGCAATGTGGCTCACACCTGTAATCCCAGCACTTTGGGAGGCTGATGAGGGAGGATCTCTTGATCTCAGGAGTTCGAGACGAGCCTGGGCAACATAGTGAGACCTTGTCTCTACTAAAAATAAAAATAAAAAAAATAATCAGCTGGGCATGGTGGTGCATGCGTGTAGTCCCAGCTACTCGGAAGGCTAAGGTGGGAGGATCACTTGAGTCTGGGAGATCGAGGCTGCAGTGAGCCATGATAGCATCACTGCATTCAA